AAAAAAAAAAAAAAAGAAGGGCCGATATAATATTGAAGATGAAGCCCACAGAAGCAGACCATCCACATCCATTTGTGAAGAAAAAAATTAATTTTGTCGTGCCCTAATGTAGATGACTGACAAATAATAGCAGAAACAATAGTCAAAACCATAGACATCTCAGTTGGTTCAGTTTACACAATTCTGACTGAAAAATTAAAGTTGAGCACACTTTCTACTCTACGGATGCCAAAACTGTTGCACCCAGATCAGCTGCAGACAAGAGCAGAACCTTAAATGGAAATTTTGAACAAGTGAGGATCAAGATCCTCAAGTATTTCTTCCAAGAGTTGTAACAGGAGATGGGACATGGCTTTACCAGTACGAGCCTGAAGACAAAGCAATGGCTCCCAAGAGGGGAAAGTGGCCCAGTCACAGCAAAAGCAGACCAGTCAAGAACAAAGGTCATGCAACAGTTTTTTGGGATGCTCAAGGCATTTTACTTGTTGACTTTCTGGAGGGCCAAAGAGCAGTAACATATGCGTATTATGGGAGTATTTTGAGAAAGTTAGTCAAAGCTTTAGCAGAAAAATGCCCAGGAAAGTTTCATAGAGAGTCCTTCTCCACCACCACAAAGATCCTGCTCATTTCATCATCAAACAAGGGCAATTTTCCAAGAGTTTCAATGGGAAATCTTTAGGCATCCATGTTATGATTCTTATTTGGCTTCTTTTGACTTATTTTAGTTTCCTAATCTTAAAAAAATCTGTAAAAGATACTCATTTTTTTTTCAGTTAATAATGTAAAAAGTACTTCAATAAGAAGGTTAAATTCCTAGGACCCTCAGTTCTTTATGAATAAACTAAATGGCTGGTATCATCTTTTACAAAACGTCCTGAACTTGATGGAGCTCACATTGAGAAATAAGGTTTATTTTTTATTTTTATCTTTCTTTCTATTTTTCCACAAATTTTTTGAAGTCTCTCATATACTCACTTGCTTGCCTTTCACATGAAGGTATTGTTAATTACTATTGTAAGCAGAATTAGAGTCATTTAATGAAATTTGAAAAATATATTTAAAATGTTAATTATGGAATCCTGCAATGCATTAATTGAGAAATCAAAGTATCAGAACTTAAACCTACAATGAATACCTACTGAGCTGCCCAAAACACATAGAACACTCACATATAACAGCCCCCCAACAAACACACACACACGAGTATGAAAGCATTACTTTCCTGCCATTGATGAAGGTTTGCTCTAAAAAGAATAATATATGGAAAGAGCCCCAGAGTTACTCCTTACCTGTTGATTTCAGTGACTCTTTGGCTAAAAGCACAATTAGAACAACACTGATGATAAACACCACAAGCAGAAGAACACTGAGCACAAGCTCCAAAGTAGTAAATTTTTTCAGCTTTTTTCTTGCCATCTCTAAAAAATAAGAGAAAAAAAATTTAGATTTCAATTTGATTTACTATATGACTAGTAAGATTTTCAATGGAAAAGCTCAAATGTATAGAATCAATACTATAACAAACTTCTCAAGCATCCATTATCTAAATTTAAAAATTATCAACTCATGGCTGATTCATTTTGTCTTTATTCTTGCCCACTTTTCTCCCTGCCCATGAATTATTTTGAAGCAAATCTCAGGTCTCATATCCTTTAATCTGAAAATGTTCAGTATATTTCTTTAAAAGGTAAGAAATTTTGCAAAAGACAAAAATATTGTCATACCTAAAATATGTTTACAATAATTCTTTACTATCGTCAAATATCTAGTCAATTTTGAAATTCCTCTCATTATCTGATAAACTTTTATAATTTGTTCTACTCTCCTGAGGATGTAAGAGTTATATATTATAATTGGCCTATATCTTTTATGAATTTTTTAATTAACAATTTGTTCTGTAGATTTTTCCTGCAATCTGAATTTTGTTGATTATATCTCTATGCATGCTAACATGTTTCTTCTCTTCTTACAGTTCCTGTAAATTAATTATTAGCTTTAGCATTTTTATCAGATTTAAGTAGTAAGAATGGTACATAAATGATACAGCATCTTCAGGATACCTTAAATCCAGTTAATTCTCTTTATTGCAATCTTCATTCTGAAAATAGCTAGATTACCTTGGAAAATTAATTAAGCTTTCTTATTCTCAGTTGCCTCATTTACAAAGGAAAGAAATTGAACTAGAAGATCTATGAGATCCCTACTCGCATTTTTTTCACTTTTTAAAAATATTTTGTACTGATTTTAATTTTTATAGACTTAGGAAAACAAGTGCAATTGTGTTACATGGATTTATATTGCATAGTGGTGAAGACTAGGCTTTTAGTGTGCCCATCATCCAAATAGTATACATTGTACCCAATAGGTAGTATTTCACCCCCCTCCCACCCTTCCACCTTTTGGAGTTTCCAGTGTCTGTATGTCCACATATACTCACTGTTTAGTTCTCATATATAAGTGAGAACACACAGTTTTTTACTTTGTTTCTGGGTCATTTCACTCAGAAAAATAGCCTCAGGTCTATCCATGTTGCTATAAAGATATGATTTCATTCTTATGAATGAGTAGTATTCAGTGGTATATATGTATGCTACATTGTTAATGCAATCATCTGATGAACACTTGAGATGATTTTATAACTTTGCTACTGTGAACTGTGTTGTAATAAATACACAATTTCAGATGTCTTCTTGATAAAACAATTTACTTTTTGTGTATGTAGATAGTAGTGGAATTGCTGGATTGAAGGGCAGTTCTAATTTTAGTTCTTTGAGAAATCGCCATACCATTTTCTACAGAGGTTGTATTATTTTACATCCCCACTAAAATTGTATAAGCATTCCTGTTTTTCTGCATCCTCTCAGTATGTGTTGGGTTTGTGTTGTTGTTTTTGTTCTATATATATATATACATATAATATATATATTATATATATATATGTTATATATATATATTATATATATATATTATATGTATATATATATATATTATATATATTATATGTTATATATATATATATTATATATATATATATATTTTTTAATTGAGTTTTAGGTTTTAGAGTACATGTGAAGAACACGCAAGATTGTTGCATATAGCCATTCTGACCACTGTAAGATGACATCTCATTTGTGGTTTTAATTTGCATTTCTCTGATGATTAGTGATGTTGAGCATTTTTTCATGGGTTTTTTTGGCCACTTTTATGACTTTAAAAAAAAATACCTGTACTGGGGGGCCAGGGGAGGGACAGTGGGGGACAGGGAGGTTGGGGAGAGACAACATGGGGAGAAATGCCAAATATAGGTGACGGGAGGATAGAGGCAGCAAACCACCTTGCCATGTATGTACCTATGCAACAATCCTTCATGATCTTCACATGTACCCCAGAACCTAAAGAACAATTAAAAAAAAATAAAATAAAATAAAAAAATAAAAACCTGTTCCTGTCCTTTGCCCCTTTTTAATGGGGTTATGTGTTATTTTCCTGTTGAGTTGTTTGAGTTCCTTATAGATTCTGGGTATTAGCCCTTTGTCAGATGCATTGTTTGCAAATATTTTATCCCATCCTGTAGGTTATCTGTTTATTTTTTACTGTACAGAAGTTTTTTAGTTTCATTAAGTCCCATTTGTCTAATTTTGTTTCTGTTATGGTTTCTTTTGAGGACTTAGTCATAAGTTCTTTGCCTAGGCCAATGTCCAGAAGAGATTTCCCTAGATTTTCTTCTAGGAATTTTATAGTTTCAGCTGTTACATTTAAGCCTTTAATTCATCTTGAGTTAATTTTTGTACATGGTGAGAGATAGAGGTCCAATTTCATTCTTCTGCATATGACATTCCAATTTTCCCAGTACCATTTATTGAACAGTGACCCCTTTCCCCAGTGTATGTTTTGAGAAAAATCAGTTGATTATAAGTATGTGGCTTTATTTCTGAGTTCTCTACTTTTTTCTACTGATCTATATGTCTATTTCTATACCAGTACTGTGCTGTTGGGTCACTACAGTCTTTTAGTGCAATTTGAAGTCAGGTAATGCAATACCTCCAGCTTTATTCCTTTTGCTTAGGATTACTTGGGCTACTTAGGCTCTTTTGGGGTTCCATATGAATTTTAGAATTTTTTTTCTAAACCTGTGAAGAATATTATTGGTAATTTGATAACAATTGCACTGAACCTGTAGATTGCTTTGGGCAGTATGGTCATTTTGATGATACTGATTCCTCCAATCCTTGAGCATGGGATGCTTTACAGTTTGTGTCATCTACAATTTATTTCATCAGTGTTTTATAGTTGTCTGTAGAGATCCTTCACCTCCTTGGTCAAATGTGTTATTAGGTATTTTATTTTATTTTTATTGTAAATGCGATTGAGTTCTTGATTTGGTTCTCAGCTTGTTATTGGTGTATGGAAATGCTACTAATTTTTGTACATTGATTTTTGCATCCTGAAACTTTACTTGAGTCATTTATTAAATCCAGGAGTCTTTTGGAGGGTTTGGTTTTCTAGGCATAAGATTATATCATCAATGAACAGAGATAATTTGACTTCCCCTTTTCCAATTTGGATATCTGTTATTTTCTTCTATTGCCTGATTGCTGTAGCTAGGACTTCCAGTACTATGCTGAATATGAGTGGTGACAATGGTTATCCTTGTCTTGTTCCTGTTATTAGGGGGAGTGCTTTCAATTGTACTGAACTTTTCCCTGTTCAGTATGGGTTTGTCATATATGGCTTTCATTATTTTGAGGTATAGTCCTTCTATGCCAAGTTTGTTAAGAGTTTTTTCATGAAGGAATGCTGAATTTTATCAAATACTTGGAGGACTGCCTTGTGTTTTCTAGAATAAATTACTCCAATTCTAGTCTTTCTTGCCAGGACTGTCTCCACTATCTCACATTCCAAAGAGCTTCATAAGAAATCCTATAAAATTAAACTTGCTTGTTAAATTCCATAAAGATTAATAACCTCTCATGCCTGATATAATTAAATTAACTAATAAACCAAAGGGTCACTGATAAGGAGTTAGAATGTCTATCCAAGTTATGATATCTCCTCTTTGGTGGATGCAAATAGTTGTGAGATGTCAGATTGCTCTCTATAATGATATTTAAATTTTTTCCAAGTGTTTATTAACACATATGTTAGACACTATGAAGAATGTGACAACAAATTGCTGGTCAAACTATAAACACCCTATGCTCAATGAAGACTTGGCAACAACTATAAAAATTACTCATACCCATTACCCAGCAATTGCATTTATAGAAATTCATCCCATAAATACATTTACACATTTGGGAATATACACACACACACAAATAAAGGTTTTTCATCACAGCATTACATGTAATAGCAAAAGATTGAGGACAGTGTAAATATTCATAGAGACAGCACTCAATAAATATGTGAAATAAAATATAATTCAATGTTATTTAAAATAATGAGATGGCAGGTGTTTTTAATTTCACAAATTTTTTGATACTCCTCTCTTCAAGAGGTAAGCTGAGTTTCCACCACCCCACCCTTTGAGGATGAGCCAGATTTAGTGACTCACTTTCAATAGATAGAATATGGAGAAGGGATGGCATCTAACTTCCAAGACTATGCATTACAGCTTCCTCCTTGCTCTTTCTTTTAGATCATTTCCTGAAGAAACCAGTTACCATGCCATCATAACACTCAAGCAGGACTTTGGAAATTTCTAGCAAAGAACTGAGGTCTTCTGCTAAGAGCCATCTTAGTAAGCTCCCTTGAAAGCAACCCTCCATCCCCATTCAAGCCTTCACATGACGGCAGTCCTGGCTGACATCTTGTCCAGACTCATGAGAGACCCTGAATCAGGACCACTCAGCTAACCCACTCCCATATTTCTGACCTGCATAAATTAAGAGATAATAAATGTTTGTTGTTTCAGACTACAAAATTGTAAGGTAATTTGTTACCCTGAAATAGGTAACTAATATGCATACATAAATATGACTTTTAAATAAAATACCATTAACATTTTTTAAAAGACTTCCTTGCCACTTATCAATAGTCCTTTTGCTCCATATATTCAAATATGGTTATTTCCTCTATGGAACAATATCTATTTTCTAGCTATACAAGAGAAAGGTTTCCTTAAACCTTAAAAAAAAATCTCCAGAATTATCAGATTGACCTTACTTCCCGCATTATAGAACCCTTGATGGTGAAGCCTCCTACCTCAGTTAGGAATGCAATTGAAGGAAAACTAAGATCAAGAAAAATGGCAAGGGGCAAATAAAAAAGGAAATAATTTAAATAGGGTTAAGTGCTTTTGAAAGAATTAAGTGCTCTTAAAAATGTTTTTTAAAAAGCTGCTACTTGGCAATCTGTCCTTAATCTTTGACTATTATTTTTGTATAGGACAAATATCTAATTGTGCAATTTTAATGTTAATGATAATAATGGTTAACAGTAATTGAGTAGATATCCTAAGAGGTTTCCATAATTTGTCAAATGCAATTTTTAAAACAACTGCAAGTTAATTATGGCTACTATCCTCACTTACAGATGAAAAAATTAAGCTTCAGAAACATCAAATAACTTGCCTGATGTCATACAGCTGATAAGGAACAAAGCCATAATTTGAACACTGCCCTTTGGACTCCACAGCCAGGGCTTTTAACCATTACTCTATATCCTATGCTACAATGCCCCACAGTGTACACGAGCTTGGCCTTTCTGTGAGGTTGTAGTTTTATCAAATAAAACCACATTAAGTTTACGACACACACCACTGTTTTAAATTATCTGGGAGACCTAGAAAAATCTACTGATGTGTCTTATTTGTCACATTTATTCATCATCAAGTTATCCAAGCTATATCTCTGGAAGAAAGAAATCTGCTTGCAGTTTATTCATTCATGAATTATTTATTAAGTCCCTACAGTGCCAAGCATCCTTTCAAAAATTGTCTATACAGCTATGAACAAAACAGATAAAAATCCCTGCCTTCATGAAACTTAGCTCTTGTGGGTAGCAAAAAGAGACAATAAACAAAATAAATAAATATATAGTAGGTTATACTGTTTAAGAACTATGGAGAAAAAGTTGGGCGGGGGGGAATGAGGAATGTTGGGGTAAGGGTTGCAATTTTAATTAGGTTGGTCAGAAAAAAAATCTTACTGAAATGTAAGAATTATTACTATATATATATATATATATATATGAATGCTTTTACACTGTTGGTGGGAGTGTAAATTAGTTCAACCATTGTGGAAGGCAGTGTGGTGATTCCTCAAGGATCTAGAACCAGAAATACAATTTGACCCAACAATCTCATTATTGGGTATATACCCCCAAAATTATAAATCATTCTATTATAAAGATCCACACACATATATGTTTATTTTAGCACTATTTACAATAGCAAAGACTTGGAACCAATGCAAATGACCATCAATGATAGACTGGATAAAGAAAACGTGACACATACACACCATGGCATACTATGTAGCCATAAAAAAGATTGAGTTCATGTCCTTTTCAGGGACATGGATGAAGCTGGAAGCCATCATTCTCAGCAAACTAACACAGGAACAGAAAACCAAACACCACATGTTATTACTCATAAGTGGGAGTTGAACAGTGGAACATAGGGACACAGGAAGGGGAACATCACATACCAGGGCCTGTCAGGGGATGAAAGGCAAAAGGAGGGAAAGGATTAGGACAAATACCTAATGCATATAGGGCTTAAAACCTAGATGATGGGTTGATAGGTCCAGTAAACCACCAGGGCATATGTATACCTATGTAACAAATCTGCCTGTTCTGCACATGTATCCCAGAACTTAAAGTAAAATTTTAAAAAAGAGGTTGGGCACAGTGGCTCATACCTGTAATCCCAGCACTTTGGGAGGCCAAGGTGGGTGGATCACCTGAGGTAAGGAGTTTGAGACCAGCCTAACCAACATATTGGGCAGTCCCTACTACATAGTGAAACCCTGTCTCTACTAAAAATACAAAAAAAATAGCTGGGCATGGTGGCAGGCACCTGTAATCCCAGCTACTCCAGAGGCTGAGGCAGGAGAATCACTTCAACCCAGGAGGCAGAGGTTGCAGTGAGCCAAGATTGCACCATTGCACTCCAGCCTGGGCAACAAGAGTGAAACTCCATCTGAAACAAAAACAAAAACAAAAACAAACAAACAAAAAAAAAAAACAAGAAAGAATTATTACTATGTATATACCATGCAAAATCAATAGAAATTTTTTTCTTCTTGAATTATTTCATATACGAATAATTGTCAAAGCTCATTGTCCTGGTATTGTTATAGTTCTTTAGGCAAAGTAGACAGATAAACCACATGGGGGCCTAAATTATTTAAATGACTATCTAAATTAATTTGGAAAAACTGGATATTTGTCCTCTTTGCAGTATTATAGCCATTGTTTGATTTGTATATGGAGGTCTAAGCCATTCTTTTAAAATCCTTTAAAATCATTTGCTAACACAAGGCATGAGATCTAGTGGAAAAGAAGATTCATTGTAGATAGATCAAGAACAACTTGCAAAGAAGACCCCGGCAAGCCATGGCCATTCATCAAAAATGCTGGGCAGGCCAAGCGCAGTGGCTCACACCTGTAATCCTAGCACTTTCAGAAGCCAAGGCAGGTGGATCACAGGTCAAGAGATCGAGACAATCCTGGCCAACGTGGTGAAACCTCATCTCTACTAAAAATACAAAAATTAGCTGGATGTGGTAGAGCGTGCCTATAGTCCCAGCTACTCAGGAGGCTGATGCAGGAGAATTGCTTGAACCCAGGAGGCAGAAGTTGCAATGAGCCGAGATCGTGCCACTGCACTCCAGCCTGGCAACAGAGTGAGACTCCATCTCAAAAAAAAATTGCTGGGCAATATTTAGTGGGTTGGTCTATCATGTCCCAGCTGCTTATGAAGGAAAAAGGTAGCTAATAAATGGCTTTTTTTTTTTTTGCAAGTCTGATCACATCCAAAGTGAGAAATCTAAGAGTCAGTTCTGACCCTAACCAGCTGTGTAACCTCGGAAAAACCACTTAACCCCTTTAGGACTTAGTTTCCCCATCTGATCTGCAAAGGGATCATCTCTAGGAGACAGCTAACTCCTCCTTTAGCCTAGCACCAAGGTGTACAAATGCTTATATTTTTCATGACATTCCACAGCTCCCACCTGAACCAATTTTAAATGGAAAATTTCTTCTTCTTCTATTCCATGCTTATAGAACAAGTTTTATAGTAATTTTATAGCTCATTAAAACTTATTTGTGAGGGAATGCCTGATAATAAAAAATAATCATTGACATCTTGTGAAAGTGAGTGAAATACCAATTAACGGTCTTAAATTTAGTACACCACTTCATTTGGTCCCTGGTAGCACAGGGACCTACCCAGTACAACAAACCAAAGACTTCCTCCATCTCACCCCCTCTTTGCACACCTACAGACATACACTTACCGTCCCATACCAGGACACAGACTGTAGACAGTTTGGATATTGGGAGGTCCTGCTTGTCCAGCAAAGCCACTGATCAGATCCTGCATCAAGAACCTACTGATACCCTTTTTCAGGGAGACCCATGGGAATTAGTCTCAACTTATCTCTTTTTCCCCAAGAGTAACTCTCCCTTCCCATCTCTGTAACCAGTCAGAAGAGAAATGAATACATGTGTCTAGCTAGACTCTAGCAACTAGTAAGGATCCAACTTTTTTTTTTTAATTTTAAGTTCTATCAGTGAGGGCCAACAATAATCCATCACCACCTCCTCTTCCCATGGGCACTTCCATTCTACTCCACACATGACTGCCAGGACGAATACCCTACCTGTCTCTTTATGACCTCCTTCCAGATTCTGCAGGAATACTCCCCTACCCTCAATGCACACCACCTCATAAATGCATCCCAATATTTTACATACACACGCCCTCAGACTATTCCCTAAAATTATTCGGCAATTGATCAACAGAGGCACCAAACTCACAAGCATAGTGATAGAGTTCTCAGTTTTCTGACTATAATTGGTTCGCCAATGGCCTTTTCTCAATCACGACTCCATATCCTTTCAGAAGGAATATCTCAAAATAGGAAGGAAAAATCTCACTCCCAAATTTGAACTCCTTTTATTCATTTCCCTTACCTCATTTCCAGAATCTGGATTTCTGCCTGCTACCTCAACCTATTAAATAATTCATCATACCTCACACAGAAACACACACAAACACACAGGTTTTGCTACAATCAGGCTTATAGATCCAGCCTTAGTTCAGAGGAATATACACACACTAAGAAAAAAAGTTAAATGAGAAGAATTTTGTTCCATGTGTGTGCATGTTCATAATTTTTTGATTTATTGTTGGTATTGTTTATCCTTGTCTGGGTGTAACAAATTAACAAGGGTATTTTGACTAAAAGAGATCCACACGAATTCACACACACTTGTAGACACACATACATGAACCCAAGGTTCACAAACATACCTCATTACCTCCTGCAGCCGCTCCCTCTCTGCCTGAAGGATGGCTTAGCAATAAAAGCAAAGGAGCACAGTCCACCAAAGCAACCAAAGCCCTGGTAACTATTTACTGACCTATCAAGAAAATGTTAATGGATTTCAAATGCAAATGAATGTCCAGATTTATCTCCAGGATTAGAATTTTTAGTTAATTAGTAATCATGGTCTTGCTCTAAGAAGGACATCCCTAAGACTTTGGAAGGAAAAGCCACCCCTCATGATCCACTCCATCCCCTCCAGGTACTGAATGTTTATTATGTGGTGGGGATACTCAGTATGCCTGGTAAGAGAACACAGACACAGTTTGTAAACTTGTAGATGATAAAAGCAAAAAGTAAAAAAAGACCAGTAAAAGTGCCCTGGTCTCTTGCAGTGGCTCCTAATTTCTCAGGAACCCACTGACATTTAGTAGCACAATCTAATGATTGTGATGAAAGGAAATTGTTTTAAAAATAGTTTTCTTCTTTCTCACCCCTAAAAAAAGTGTCCTTAAGCTTGTTTGCAGTATGGAAATCCTTTAATAGTCTGGTGACTCTTGAACTGCCTCTGCAGAATTATAAATAAGAAAAATCTAACTTGACTGATTCCATCTTGCTTCCAGCCTCCCAGGCTAAATTGGGTTTTCTGGGGGCAGGTGGGGGGGAGGGGGGTTGTGTGGTTGGCTTTTTGCTTATTCTAGTACAAAGGCCAAGGTAACTATGGGAGGGATTTAGTTTATAGTTAAACTTGGAATCAAGGGAAAATGATCCCCCTTTTGCCTGGAGCTTAAACCGGCATTCATGAGGCAAGGTTGGAATTATGATAGGGGCTTGGACTTTGCTAAAGAATAAGCATAAACAATCTCCTGCCATGGCTTAGTTTGTTTTTCTATAAGTTGCTTACTGCTCCAGAGTCACATAATCAGTGTCACAAAATTTTTAACTTCCCCAGCAACCAAAGATAGCGTCACTGCATTGGTCTGTTTTCACACTGCTATAAAGGTATACCTGAGAGAGGTTTAGTTGGCTCACAGTTCCCGCAAGGCCGGGGAGGCCTCTGGAAACCATCATGGTGGAAGGGGAAGCAGGCATGTCCTATATGGCGGCAGGTGAGAGACAGCAAGCAAGAGCAGGGAAAACTGCTTTATGAAACCATGAGATCTCATGAGAATTCACTCACTATCATGAGAACAACTGCCGCCATGATCCAATCACCTCCCACCTGGTCCCTCCCTTGACACGTGGGGGCTATGGGGATTACAATTCAAGATGAGATTTGGGTTTGGACACAAAGCCTAACCATATCAATCACTATAGTGAAACTTAAATAAACTGGTCTTTTAGATATTTGTCAGCATTTCAGTAGACCAAGGGACACCACCTAGTCTTGAGACCCCCCACACATACACACCCTTCCTGGGAACTGACTCAGCTGCACAAAGACAGTTTTAGGTGCTCCTGTGATTTCATCCCCCACCAATCAATTGTACCAGTTTCCCAGCCCCGTGCCCAACAAAGTACCCTTTAAAAACCTTAGTCTTTGAATCCTGGGGGAGATGGGTTTGAGAAATTTCTCCCTGTCTTGTTTGGCCAGCCCTGTGAGTATTAAACTCTTTATTTGCTGTACTGCCTCCTGTTCCACTGATCTTTTTGGGGGGAAGTGGACAAGAAGAACCCACTGAGTTAAGATACACTTATAAAGCTCTCTTAGAATTAATTTTTAGGCCAGGCACAGTGCTCATGCCTGTAATCCCAACACTTTGGGAGGCTGAGGTGGGTAGATCACTTGAGGCCAGGAGTTCAAGACAAGCCTGGCCAACATGGTGAAACTGCATCTATACTAAAGATGCAAAAATTAGTTGGTTGTGGTGGCATGTGCCTGTAAGCCCAGCTACTCAGGAGGCTGAGGCAGGAGAATCGCTTGAACCTGGGAGGCAGAGGTTGCAGTAAGCCAAGATACAAAGAAAATCAATTGCATTGAAATGCAGTTACTATAATATTTTTTAAATTACAGTTTGTGCCTCTTTAATGATATACTAACAATAAAGCAACATGTCTAACAGCAATTGCAATTTTGAAAACAAGGTAAGCATAAAAATATTTTGAGATTGTTTTAAATATATGATGTGAAAGTAACTGTGACCTCTCTTGAAACCAAAAAGTCATAGGTACTACTAACACCACTGTAGTTTGCAACCTAACTTTAAATTTCAATTCAAATCAAAGATATGTAAATATTTTCCCCTTCCAAGTTCACAGGCTTTCAGAATTATAGCGACAAACCCCAGATATTACTAAGCGGACCTTCCTCCAAGTAGGGCAGAGGTCCCCCCTCTGTGATATTCCAAGTGTTACCTGTGAGCCTGTGGTTGCCAGCTTCCAAAGAAATAAGCACAGAAATTGAAGACACGTGTTGAGAGGCTTGCATTAAAATTTGACAGAATTATTTCATGTCATTGATCTTGATAATTAAAAAATGGAACTTATATCTGTATATGCTGGGTTTTTTATGGTTTTTTTTTTAGTAATTTAGTCTTAATTTTACAAAAGCCTCAGTATGTGATATATCAGAAATTTTTTAAACAATTGCTGTTTTACCACACATAATTTAAAAAGCCCTGCTCACCTACTGCTCTTTCTAGGCATTCGTCTTTATGGACTAGCAAAAATTTGGGAAAAAAGAAACTGGTCCAAGAGACCTAAATTTATAAACCATATATGTCACCTGAAAAATATGAACAAAAGTCACTATCTCTTATCACAGTCATTTCATAGTAGATATACACAATCAAAATTAAATCAATTTATCTCTTTTGAAAAGTTTACTTCCTTATCCTTACTTTTCTAACTTCATCAACCATGAGTGAACACTGACTACCATGGAAACAATGACTTACTGTGTTTCTTTGGCATCATGGAATCAAATAATTTAGAGCTAAAAGAGGAAAGAAAGGAAGACTAACATGCACGGAGGCTGGCTGAGTGCCAAGACCTTGGGTTTGGAGCAGGGGCTCATAGCTATAATCCTAGCACTTTGGGAAGCCAAGACAAGAAGATCACTCGAGCCCAGGAGTTCAGGCCAGCCTGGGCAACAGAAGGAGAACCTATCTCTACAAAAAATAAAAAATCAGCTGGGTGTGGTGGCCCACACCTGTAGTCCCAGCTACTTGAGAGGTTGAAGGAGGAGGATCACCTGAGCCTGGAGGACAAGGCTGCAGTGAGTTATGATCATGCCACTGCAGTCCAGCTTGGGTAACAGAGTGAGAGCCTACCTCAATAAAAATGAATAAATAAAAACAAGACCTGTGCCTAAATGAGCTCACTAAATGAGCTCACTGATGTTCACAATGGTCCCAAGGCAGTGAGTGTCTAATCCAAATGCACATCCACCAAGCTCCTAGGACATGTGAGTTGAATTGTTTGGTATTGCCCTTAAAGAACTTTAAGAATCACTAAGCATAGCCTCCTTGTTTACAGAAGAGGAAGTTAAGACCCAGGAATATGAGGTTTGTGTGAGTGGTGACTCAGAGTTCCAGATCCGATTGGGCCAGACTGAATGTGAAGCCCAGGTCTGTTTATTAGCTGGGGGAGTTTAAACAGCTAAGTTTCTGATCCTCTAACTTAAATGAAGATTAAGTTACCTATCCAATAAATTTATAAACTAGACAAAATAATGTGAGTTTTAAAACTTGATGTTACTTAGTAAATACTCAATAAGTGTCGGTTACAATTATTATGATTATTATGCATTCGCCACAGTTGTGACAAGAGCTCAGACCCTGAATCCCCAATCCAAGGCCCATTCAAACATGCCAGTCTCTCATTCCACCCTCAATCAGAATTCTGAACACAGCAGGTAGTCATTTGTGAGGATTCAGTCAGGATGGTTGGAAAGATTGTAAAATTATAGAATATAATCACAAGCCTTCTTAGAAGGCTGAGAAGTTTGCATAGTTTCAGTAGAAGTTTTGGCTGAACGCAGCCTAATCCCCTTTACCTTTAGTTGATAAAGAAAAGCAAATAACTAGGGAATGTGGGAGAGTTTATCTGAATGCTGGAGAGGCTGTGGAGAAACAGGAATGCTTTTACACTGTTGGTGGGAGTGTAAATTAGTTTAACTTCTGTGGAAAACAGTGTGGCGATTCCTCCAGGATCTAGAAATAGAAAAACCATTTGACCCAGCAATCCCATTACCGGGTATATACCTAAAGTATTATAAATCATTCTATTATAAAGACACATACACGTGTATGTTTATTGCAGCACTATTCATGATAGCAAAGACTTGGAACCAACCCAATTGCCCATCAATAATATACTGGATAAAGAAAATGTGGCACATATGCACTATGGAATACTATGCAGCCATAAAAAAGGATGCATTCATGTGCTTTGCAGGGACATGGATGAAGCTGGAAACCATCATTCTCAGCAAACTGACACAAGAACAGAAAACCAAACACCGCACGTTCTGACTCTTAAGTGGGTGTTGAACAATGAGAACACATGGACACAGGGAGTGGAACATCACACACCCAGGCCTGTCAGGGGGTGGGGGGCTAGGGGAGGGATATCAGGGGGTGGGGGGACAGGAAAGGGATAGCATTAGGATAAATACCTAATGTAGATGACAGGGTGACGGATGTAGCAAAGCACCATGGCACATGTATACCTATGTGACAAACCTGCATGTTCTACACATGTACCCCAGAATTTAAAGTATATTAAAAAAAAAAACAAAAAAAAACAAAAAAAAACAGAAAAAAAGAGTATATTGTTCTGTTTTATAGGTGTGCATTCCCCAAAGTGCTCAGAGGAGTACTAGCCACTCCTTAAGTCTCTGCCCACAATTTCCTCAAACTCCCTGTCAAAGACAGACACACATGAAGAGCCCAATCTGACTGCTGAGTTCAGAAGGGACAGATGAGGTCCAGTGTACATTCTTCATTTTCCTACATGGAACATGAGTTCATGTGTTCTCCCTTCCTGGAATAAAATCCTTATAGAAAATAATAATTTTATCTGTGTGGATTTTACCAATAATTAGCTGTGGGTGGATTAGGTGTCCCTAAAAGTAT